CTTGTCAAAATGCTTATCATACAATATAGCTGAGACGCATTCGACTGCATCAATTTCACTTCTTTCTCTATCGACACTTTAAAAAAAAGGAGATCTTCTATAAGACTTGTGATAAAATATTATACCTTAATATTTCGAGGTTCGCCAATGCAGTGAATAAAATAACAGACGCTTGTTTTACAAACAAAAAGGTATCTATTTTTCTACATAATATCTTTCGCGCTAATCCATAAACACTTCTCAAAATATAAAAAATAGATATTGTATTTTGTAGTATATAATACGAGAAATTTTGAACGAATGTTAAAGGCGGAAACGGCGTATTATGCATACGTACACGTTTCAGGAATTTTTCCTCGGCTTAAACTTCCGGTTCATTTCTGTTGTTTTACATCAAGGAAAATTAAATATTTTAGTGGAATATATGTAAGATGTTGCGATTTTAATTGATAATATGATGCAGCTTTACTAAAAGAATTTACACAGGGTTGTCCACATGATCTAATTTATTTCCTGAATTTAACTTCAAAAACACCACAAGCTCGGACTATACTCAAGTCGTATTATATATAAGGAAAATAATGTATGAAGTAACACACACACACACACACACATACATATATATATATATATATATATATATATATATATATATATATATATATATATATATATGCTCTCGAGTGTCATTGCAAAAGTACCTATTATACAAGAAATTTTGAACGAATATTCAAAGACAAAAAAGGCGGTCCTATTATACACAAATGCATGCTTTCAGAAATTCTTAGATTTCAAAAAACTCTCACTTCAAACAGTAATATTTCAAATACACTCAGTTAGCCCAATGTTATATATAAAGTGCAGTTGTTTGTTTGTGCGTGTGTGTGTCCAAGTAACTACTCTTCTCCCACTGGTCCGATTTCAAAGATTCATAGGTCAATCAAAAGCCGTAGAAAGGTTAGGCGTTGAGCTCAGATTCAGGGTTGACAGATTATGCGAGGTTAAATATATATATTAATATATTATACTAGCCATTATCGCTGCTTTTATGATTCAAGGGAAGTTTTCCTTTGTATACAAAATTGCAGGTACCTTAAAATTTTAAGCTAGATTAAAAGCCGACTGATAGGGCAGCATTTAATTTATCTTCTGTGTAGGAATCATGATTTGTACATATCAAAATAGCAAGGAAAGAGTAGATGCTATAAGCATGAATAAAATAAAGAACTCAAAATTGATCCCTGCATTTCAGTATTTAATTAATGCTTAAGCCTACCTTTTCAAAGTTCAACGATAATTCTTCAGCTGCCACTTAAATTAAAGAAGATTTGATGTACGTAGATAATTATTTTGCTTACAAACACTTACTTTTTTTCATGGGTGACAGAACAGGGGATAATTTATAAGATAAAATTAATATATTGTAAAGATGGGAAAATAGAAATTAAAATTAGTTATATATTCAACATTCGAAGAGTTAGAGAAACATAATAGCTAATTAAGTAAACCAGTATTATGAACTCTATATGAATAAATGCGAAATCGGAGCTCAATTCTTCCCACGAATTCTGAGACTAAAAAGCCCCTGATCTACTTCATATTAATTTGTATTTACTCAAGCCCCAAGGGCTAGGAACAAAAATTTCCCAATCCCACATAACCGTCGGTTGCGCTGGCTTCGGTGCGAGCACCGATACATCTCTCTGGTGCAATGAGAAGGCGAGTACTCAGGTAGCTGTTCCCTAGACCTGGGCACCTTTTAGTGTAATTTTCCTCACTTGCGACTATGTCCTTCGAGGGAGTCACAAATGAACGCATTCTTTCTAGAGACGCAACTGCGAGATGATAATAAACGTGTTACAAACCTCTTGAAAGTAGTTTGTATTTACTCAACATCAACGAGATCAGGTTGTGATACAGGGTTAGTTTAATGTGGGGAGCGCGTACACCGGGGATAGAAACAAAAATTGACCGAGCAACGATCCATCTCTCTGGTTCAATAAGAAAGCGCGGCTTCGGGCAGCTGTTCCCCTGAGCTGGGCACCTCTCCGCATAATTTTCCTCAGTTTCGACTTCAAAGACAGAGACACAACTGAGATAATAAACGTGTTACAAACTACTCAAGAGTAATTTGTTTTACTCAACCTCAAAACCTCTTGAGAATAATTTGTATTTACTCAACTCCTCCAGTCGGTTTTATGTAGCGCATACACTTGGACTCGGAACAAAAATTGCTCGTAGCCACCGCAACAGTCGGTTGCGCTGGCCTCGGTGCAAACATCAATCCCTCTTCCTAGTGCAATGAGAGGGCATGGCATCGGGCAACTTTTCCCTAGAGTCGGTCACCTCTCAGTGTGATATGAGACGCAAGTTAAAGATGATAATTAACCGTGTTACAAAATATTCGAGAGTGATTTGTGTTTATTTAACCACTCAGGATGTCAGGGTGTGATCTAAAGTCGGTTTTATGTGGGAAGACGGAGCGCGTACAGCCGGGCAAGAAACAAAAATTCCCCGAGCCCCACAATCGTTGGTTGCGCTGGCGGCGGTGCATGCACCGATCCTTCTCTTTAGTGCAATGAGAAGGCGCGGCCTCGGGCAGCCATTCGCAAGGGCCGGTACCTCTCGGCATAATTTTTCCCTGGTTGCGATTCTGTCCTTTCACGGAGCCGCTCTTGAGCGCTCTCTGCCCAAAGATAGAGATTCAACTAAGAGGTGAATAATAACGTGTTACATAATATTTGACAGAGTAATTTGTATTTACTCACCCCCATCCCCACGAGGTAAGATTATGACACAAGGTCGGTTTAATGTGGGGAGATGAAGCGCGTACACTCGGGCTAGGAAAAAAATTTCCCTCAGCCCCAGCAGCTATCGGTTGCGCTTGTCACGGTGCGAGCACTGATCCCTCTGGTGCAATATGGCGCGACTCGGGCAGCTGTTCGCCCGGACTGGGCACCTCTCAGTATAATTTTCCTCTGTTGCAACTCTGTCCTTCGATGGAGCCGCCCCTGGGCTAACTCTTCCCAAAGACAGACGCCACTGAGTGATGATAAATAATGTGTTACAAGCTACTCGAGAGTGCAATTTGTATTTACTCAACCTCCCCACGATGTCAAGTTGTGACACAAGGCTGGTTTAATGTGGGGAGCCCGTGTGCGTACACCCGGACTAGGAACAAAAATTGTCCTCAGCCCCTGCAACAGTCGGTTGCGCTTACCTCGGTGCGAGCACTTATCACTGGTGCAATGAGCACTTCCAAGTATAAGGGCTATGAGAGGGCGCGACCTCGGGCAGTTATTCCCAGAGCCGGCACTTCTCAGCATAATTTTCCTCAGTTGCGACTATGATGGATTATACCCTGATCGCACTCTGCCCAAAGACAAATACGCAACTGAGAGATGATTAATAGGGCGTTACAATGTACTCGAGATAGCAATTTGTATTTACTCCGGATTTCGAGACAATTACAACTGGCGAGTGGGTGTGTACTTTTGCGTTTTTTTTTCAGAAAGTGGATTCTACGTTTTCGGGACCATGTCAGATATTCGTTTCTCCATCTCTCTCGGATAGTAGCTTATATTTCTACCTCTCGTCTAGTTTGTTCCACGTGTGCACATTCTAGGCGCAGCTGGGTTGACTGCGACGGGGAGCCACTGACATCTGGTGAGGGTGAGGATCTGCACTGCTGGCTTGGAGGAGACCTCAGGTCAACCAAGATAGGCATCTGGCTTCTGAGCGCAAAATCTGTTTTGGCATTAATGTGACACTTACTAAGAATTTCGTGTCATTATCCATATAATTGTAAAAACTGTATATTTTGGAGAATTAAATTATTAATACACGTCTTACGAATTTACCCATATCTAGGGAAGAAATGTTAGATTTATACCTTCCTCAAACGTATTTAAGTGTAAGTTAATATAACACAACTGGAACAGGAAACCATCTCCTTGATTAATAATTCCGAACAATTATCCATTAAAACACGTGCACATGCAAAACCCTGGTATTTTCTGTCGGTCACCAATCTAGACACTGACCAAGCTCGATGTTACGTAACTTTGGTTTTCGTACAGGAACCGGTGCTTCAACGTGATGTGCTCGTAAGACCCTGGGTGATTCCCATACTACACACATGATCTCTTCTTTTAGAATGTATGCAACTGTATAATAATTCTGTGAATAATGAACTCGCTTACATTTGTTTTAAACATTTTTGAATATTATTTTCTGTCAGATCATTTAATCTGCTGCATGAACATTTCCTCTTTATGATAATAGGTTAAAACTACGGGCTTAAAAAAGCGTGTAAATTTGTAAATAAATACCTTATCTTGTTTTGTCGTGTGTTTCCTTGTCATCATCATCCCATTAATCTTCTTGGCGTGGGTAAATCAATTTTTCATTTTACACCCGAAGCCCCACGCCACGATAAAATACTTCTTTCATCCCTTCATTCGTTCTTTTATTCATTTTCTCGCTGAACACAAGTAGCGTCACTGATATGTGTTATGTTTATCAAAACAAAATGGTTCATTATGCGGAGACATTAAACATTTTTCTTTCTTTCATCTTCTCGCAGAAATGGAGTAGTGTTTTTTCCCCTCTTTACACGCGTTCAAAATGGAATAGTCCATTATTTATGAGTTATTGTCAGGAGACATTAAACACGTTTATCTATCTATCTATCTATCTATCTATCTATCTATCTATCTATCTATCTATCTATTTTTATTTTCTCACTAAAACTGTCTTTTCCTCTCTTTCCACGCGATCAGAACGGAATAGTCCATTTTTTATGGGGTATTGGGAGGAAAACAGTCGTGCGAACTAATGAAGTGGGGGGAAGAACAATTATAATAGGATTATTATTATTATTATTATTATTATTATTATTATTATTATTATTATTGTTGTTGTTGTTGTTGTTATTATTATCATTATTATTATTATGTATCTGCATGTTATCTGTATAATTTTATTATCTATGATCTTACCGCATTCAATTTCATCGCTGCCGTCGAGACAGTCTTTGACGCCATCGCAGAGAAGAGGATCCGGAATACACTGTGAATTATTACAGTGAAACTCTGACATGTAGCAAGTTCGGTATTCTGCAATCACAAGAAACGAGCAATGGTTAATGGTACTTCAATAAATTAATGAAAAATATCTCATCAGATCGCAGGAAAGATATATATCATCATTTGTATTATCAATAAAACCAAATATATTATTATTTGTTTTTTAATCATTTCATCCAAACCAAGGCAATAAGCCGCAATGACGCAAGGGGTTACTGAATGTTAGAGAATATGAGAAAAATACTATTAATGAACGAGAACAATAAAAGAACAAATATGTGAGGATAGTAGATAACGATTGACATTAAATTTACAATTTTGAAGATCAAAGTTGACTGGAAAGTAAGAAGCCGGAAGAGAAGTCGACTAGCTAGAAGTGCCACTGTTAGCAGAGAAATTATTTTTAAATCTAGCCATTTCAAACTGTACAAGGGTGATACCTTATCGCCAATCTACTCTACTGCTCTTAAATTCATAAAGCCTAGGTACCATGGAGGAAAGTAATATTTATTTTGAAAAATGCAAAAATGTGGCACAAGGCCAAAAGTTGGTATGGGGGAAGGCTGATCTCCAATCTGTCTCATCTTAATTTTAATTAGCCACGATTACTGATTCAAACATACCACAGTATTTTACACAAAAACAATACATTATTCCTGACCATTCTTACTATAGCCACCATAATACTTCAAAGTCAATATGAAGTCTTAATTAATTCCCATATATACAATTTGAATTTAGCAGTGTAGAGAATAAAAGTAACAATATGAAAAAAATTAAACCCCAATAAATATTTGCCACGGATGAAAGTTTATCAGAACAATTAGCATGAAAATATTTACAGAAAAGGCACAAGGAAGTAACAATAAGGTGATGGGAATGTGACTGAACCCGAGATGTCTGGCCTGGAGCAATAACACTGCAGAATCATCTTTGGATTTTATCAAGAAACTCTAACTATAAAGCAGGGTCACCAGACCAAATGTGTCAGCAATATTCAAAGCACAGACGAATGGTAGACTTATAAGATAAGTTGTAAAATAGATTCTGGTGAGAAAAATTGTCTAGCAAGACACAGGAAACGAACATTCCTACCAGCAGCCCTAGTAATCGATTCAATATAATCTTTCCACTTTATGTCAGCGGGTAATGTTTGTCTGTGAAGGCGCAATATCACTTTTCCGTGTTTGATGGAAGGTTAAAATAGTTCTCTCAGGGAACGGCTGAATCTAATATTAAGGGGGTCATCATACACAGTATATAAAATTACCGCTTTACCGTATGTACTACGCCGTTGACCAAACTATATATCAATTTATTAGTCAAATTAGCTTCAAAATCTGATACTAGAGTATATTATGGTATAAATGCATATATATATATATATATATATATATATATAGATATATATATAGATAGATAGATAGATAGATAGATATATGCGTGTGTGTGTATGTATGCGTGTGTGTGTGTATAAAATATATATATATATACGGGTTATATATATATATATATATATATATATATATATATGTATATATAGTGGACTCTCCCGTCGTATTCGACGTATGAGGGACAAGCAGCTCAGTTTCTAGGAATCGACAGCCCAGGCACCAGCACATATGATTTGATTGTAGTGGTGAAGGCTTTGTGCTGAACCAACTTACTTTTTGAAGGTCCGAATAGAGAGATCTGGTGCAAATACGTGCCACAAGGTCCCCAAATAACCCTCCGCAGGTTTTGAATTCAGAGTTGTCCTTCTCATAGACTATTTCCCATTCAAGACGATACGCAGGAATTACCATGTTTCAAAAACAGAAGCTAAAACTTTCAAATTCATTTATAGTATTAAAATAAAATTATAGTCCCTATTTCTGTTTCATTTTCAAGCGAATTTTGGAATAACTTATTTTGAAATTTACTGAGTTTTATAAGCACATAATATAGGGTAGTTTTATAAGCACATAATATAGGGTAGGGTATTCTTTTTCACTGACAACTATTGTATCAACATATTATTTACTTTTGAAAAAAGTTTAAGTCAAGGTAGGGTAGGGATGCCTTTTTCAAACGAATGATGACATCCGTTCAACGCATGTGGTCTGGTCTTTTTCAACGACAAAAATTTTTCGGCACTTCTGTTTCGCCGTTAAATTTGTACTTGTATACATAAAGATTTTTTTCTAAACGTGTTGTTTGTATATGAATACGTCGTACTGAAATACAATTTTAAAATATTATTCTTCATTTTAATAATAGACGATACGTCTTTTAAAACAAATAAATGTAATACAATTACTTAATTTATTTAAAAATTATTATTTGAACATTTAATATAAATATGTATATTTCATTTATCAATTTTTATTTTTTTTTAAACATTACTTTGTTAAAAAATAGGACAATTTTTGACAATGTCGACAGAGAATAGCTATGTCATTTCTTCGATTAAGTAATTTTATTTTTTAGAAACTAATAATATATAGTTTCTCATGTATGTACAAAGGACATGGGTCATTTAATGACCTACATATTCAAGCTTTTCTTATTAATTTCCATTACATAGTAGGTGTTTTATTGGTTTCTTTTAAGTGCCAGAAATATTTCGAAAGGGACGTCTGATTTCGGTATTTATTTATCCTAAAAGAACTTTGATGTTGGTTAAACCGTTCTTTGAACTCGTGTCTTGTACATCCTAAGTCTGAATCCTCAATAGATGAGATATTGCATCGGTATACTAATGATTCTATTCTATGAATATTGCTGTTAGATCTGGTCTGGTGTTTCTGCCACGCAATTAGATAAACTTGACAAAATACAAAAAAGATTCGGAAATGTTATTCGTCCTGACATATCTCGTCTTCATTCCCGTTCCAACTGGCGTAATGTAGCTTCCCACTGCTTTTTCTATAAATATTTTAATGGTAATTTCATGGTAATTGTCCTGATGTGCTTTCCTCTTTGGTACCTAGTCTTTATGAATTTAAGCGGGCTACTAGATTGGCGAAATGCTCTCACAATCTTACAAGCTGAAATAGTTACATTTAACTGTCATTTTTGTAACAGTTGCTTCTCTCGCACTTCTCGCCGTTGAAAGTTTCTCCCAACTTTTTGCTTTCCAATCAATATTGATGTTCAAAAATTTAAATGCAATGTTAATCACCATCTTTTGTCTTCTTAATTTTTGTACTTTTATTGTTCTCTCTTGCGTCATAATCGCTTTATTGCCTTGATTGGGGTGAAATGAATTAAAAAACAAAAATAAAAAAAACGCAGATCTATACTCTAAAGAGAAAATATTTAACTGTTATTTCGTATATTCATTATCAACACACACACATATAAATATATATAATTATTACACATGTAATATATACTCACTGCAGTTTACTTCATCCGAGTTGTCTCCACAATCGTCCACAAAATTGCACATGGATGACTTGGGAACACAAAGATGGTTGTTACATTTGCCTCTGTTCGGTGGACAAACATAAGATTCTGAAAGAAAAAATAAGACACACGTCATAGGTATTTTTTCTTCGACTTTGCGGAAAAAAATATAAATCATTCGAAGGACATAAAAGTCGTTGTTGATCACATAGTTTATACGTGATTTTATATATTTCTCGGATTTCATTCTACTTTTGACTTTTAAAACTCAATATTTCATATTTATTTTTAATTTTGTAGTTTAATATATCAGGTTGTACATAGTAATTTTGCAGCATGATATTTCAATTTGTATAGAGAAATTTATTTTATATATTCATTTTCAAGCCACAAGAACATGAAATTAGTAACGCAGCATAGAGTAAAATTACTACTACCCCTATATAATAGAGCTTAAAACATAAATACAGAAATATATACTCGCATCGAATTTCTTGAAAATGAATTGGCCGAAAACATTTAGTAGAATAATCACTATACTAACTTTGTCCTGAAGAAATAAAAACTATAAGGACGTTAGAGAAACTGAAGAAAAACATATTTAATATTTTTTGACCGTAAGATTAAATAAATTACGTCTAAAAGAAAGTCTACTTCAAGAATATCCAATTTTAATCATATATATATAGAACTGTTACACACAGAGATCAGAAACACACACACAAATCAGAAACACACACACACACACATATATATATATATTCTTTTACATTTGCTATTACCACTTCATCGGAGAGAAAGACTTTATAGGATCCAACAGTGCAAATTTGGAATCAACATAATGTGATTGTAAGTTTTACCCTTAAATGCGATCTCCAGAACACCACTCTATTGATTCCAATATCTACACTGTATGTCTCTCTGAGTACATAATTTTATAGAACATGAAGTTACAAAAACACGATGAAAACCCTTGATTTCAAGCGAAAATTATGGCTTGTAGGCATGTCTCACTTATTTTGGAAAGTTTGCTAAAAGTGATAATACATATATTTATAGATTTGAAAGTTACGGAAACAATGAAAACCCTTGATTCAAAACGAAATTTGATGGCAATTTTCACTTGTTCCTGAAAGTTTTTTAAACGTGCGTGTACATAAGTTCATAGCCTTTGGAGTTACGAAAACAATGAAAAGCTCGATTCCAGTTCCAAGCGAAAATGATAGTTTGAAGGCAATTTTCACTTATTTTTGTAAGTTTGCAAGTGCTCCTGTTGTACGTATCGATATTATTGACAAAAGGGTCTGTAACTTATCATGAACAGACATCTTCACTTTCTAACGATGTGTCACAACTTCATTCTGTCTTTTCTATAAATATATTTATGGCAACTGCACTGGCAAGATTTTTCCCTGATGCCCTGAATATAGCGCGTTACTAGATTGGCAAATAGGTCTCAGAACTTTATTGGTGAGCTAGCTCGATACTACTACCACCACTACTACTCTAACGATTTATTTTCTAGAACATTTCCTCCTGTGGAAATCCATTTCGTTTTCTTGCTTCCCTTTATAACTACAATCTTCAACGTCAATCACCATCTTCTATTTTCTTGAACCCTGTTCCTTTTTCTCCTTTCGTCAATTCTCGCCTCAAACTCTTTCACTTTTACTTCCACTAACCTTGACTGGAATGAATGAGTGTGTGTGAATAGATTTACAGCCCTATAAGTTACAAAACCATTGTAAAGCCTAGATTCGAAGCGATATATATATATATATATATATATATATATATATATATATAAGTGAACATTGAATTCAACACCCAGAGGCGACAGGCTGTTTCCTACTGGACGCAATCGTCAGGCCTCGAATGAAGGATTTTTCCTCGGCTATTTATATATGTGGTGCATTGTGGGTAATCTATTCTGACGGTTATTTGCAGGAGTGGATTGTTTGGGTTAATTTATTTTACGTGTTTTTCCTTTTTGATATTGTATTAATTATTCTTTTGGTCTTTTGATGTTTTATTAACGTAGTAAATGTTTTGGTGGTGGGATTCGCTTAGGTCGCTTATTTAATACTTTGTTTTGGTCTCGGTAGGTAATTAAAGCTATTTATTCGTATTATTTATTTTGGCGGGTGGACAGTTTTTAATTTATTTATTTGTATTGATTATTTGTACTTGTTTTTGCTTATTTTTATTAGTTCTAACGGTTATTTTAGTGGGTGTGATTTGTTAATTTGTTCATTTATTTATTTATTTGGATTAATTTTATTTTTATATTTATTTCATTTATTTATTTATTATTTTGTATATTTTTTATTTATTCTATTTGGTTTTCGATTTTAAGTAACATAGTAAGTTTTTTTTATCGATATATAGCAGTTATAGCTATTTTTACGTCCAATTTTTGTTGTTGTAGTCTATTCTGACGGTTGGTGGGATTAGATTTTTAATTTGTTTATTATTATTTAATTTATTTACTTATTTGGGTTGATTGTTTTTACTTGTTTTTCCTGCATCTTATTTTATTCTTTTATTCATTCTATTTCGTCTATTCTAACGGGTGTAGTTTGTTAAATTGTTTATTATTTGTTTGGGTTAATTTATTTTACTTGTTTTCTATATTATTTTGTTTATTTGTATTTATTCATTTCAGTTTCCGAATTTTAAGTAACGTAGTAAAAATTTGTTTTCATGTCTGCATTTCGTGATGAGCTCAGATCGTTTATTTACTTATTTATTTCGGTCTGGGAAGTTAATAATAGCTATTTTTTCGTCCAAGCAAAGTTTGCAGGTTTTTGATTGATTGTTGTAGGCTGATGATCTTTTCCTTATTTTCCAAGATATTTTTGGTGTAGTTTGTGTTTTGTTTTAATTTCCCAGGTCTGCTTGGAAAGCATTGTAATGTTCGCGTATTTACTATTTGTGAAATATGTTCTTTGTTTCCTGGATCCTTCAGTTACTCCTATGTATACATTTTCTTCATTATCTGGTGATTTTACAGTGGCTTAGTATATTATAATGATAATGAAGAAAAAGTATGCATATGAATAACTGGAAACAGCCAAGGAAAAATCCAGCATTCGCAGCCTGACGATTGCGTACAGCATGAACAACCTGTCGCCTCTGAGTGTTGACTTCAATGTTCACGTTTATATTTATATTTACGTACGCTTTATCTTTGATATTGAGCACAATACATATCTATCTATCTATCTATCTATCTATCTATCTATATATATATATATATATATATATATATATATATATATATATATATAGATAGATAGATAGATATGTATGTTTGTGTGTCTATGTGTGTGCGTGTTTGTGTGGACGTAAATATGCTGACCATGTTTGAAAAATGAAACATTCCTATAACTCTACATACATGCATAAAACAATCCATACACTCAGTTAAAAGTCAAAATAAAAGATCCTTGATAACGGATAAATGTATAGCCGAAATATATGTATTTTCAATTGGATCCTTTTATATTCACACACAAGCTTTTTGATATCATTATGAAAGAAAGAGAGAGAATTGCAATGTTGATGTATATTCATTTATTCCGGGTACGTACAGCATTAGCACAATGTCATAATCAGGGTGTTGTTTATTTCAAGTCAAATATTGCATATGCAATTATATGTATATATAAGGAGGTTTGAAATGGTCAAAATCTGAAAAACTAACCATTTTTTCATGCGCTTCTTGTTTCCAGCACTATTTAGTCGATATTTATAATCGAGGACTGTCTTTTTAATAGTTTCAGAACCGTTTGAGCGGTGTTGCGTTAACCTGGAACTCACCATGTAAGTTATTATCCATGTGTCATTAAATAGACACAGTGGAGGCAGACTTCGAGCAAGATTGTGCCCTGTACGATCATGTGATTCGTTATGTCTATGAGGCTGCCTATTATTTGCATCTCCCTTTTTTTTGCTTTTGGTTTTTCAAGACTTGCGTTACGCGGATCTAACACCAAAGATAATTTCCAGATCTCGTTCTTTGATTTTTTTTTTGGACGAAGTTAAGAAAAATTTGGCACTTGTTGGCAGATCCAAAATAGAATTTTAGAGATTGAGTGAAAAACAGAAATCAGTGATGTTTGAAAGTTAACAAATATTTAAGTAAGGCTATTTTTTATCGTTAACATAAAATAGTTGAATACTTTCCAGACAGACTTCTCGTGAAGCTCAAAAGAAAAAAATACAATAATAATAATAAGACATGCGTTGCCAGGAGGCATATGAGCAATTATTGTATTAAGAAATATGTGCTGGTTGCTTATCGGTTATCAATGTGAAAAATTGAATCTTAGAGACAAACACAAATTCCGGTCTTTTCTGTTACATTCACTATCCAGCCATTAATGGATGTGCAGGGAGTGTAAAGGATATCGGCTCGAAATTGAGAAAAAGTCGAGTTCGAATTCTAGTCGTGTTTGTTACATTAAATTACATGCAAATAACCTTAGGAAAATTATTAGTCCATTTGTCACCAGGTAAGGGTTAAATATTATCCCCTGTATCCAGAATAATCATCGCTATTCTTCAAAAAATTGTTAATTCATCTCCCAAAAATTATTCTTAGACTCCAAATTATGTTTCGGCTTTAAATAACCAATACGGTTGATAAAAAAATAAATCATTCAATCAGCCAATCAATCAATACAACGATCACCGTTGTGAAACGTATAAATCCATCTGTTTCCCCTATCTATAGGTTAAATAACAGGACAGACTGGACACTATTGTCTTCGTCGGCAGTCTTAGAGACGGCGTGCTCTGAATTCAAAACCGTGGAAAGGGCAAAAAGAAAGCACTACGCTATCTGTTCCAAGATATTATAGCAATTTACAAAATGTATCCGTGGAAAGTTGTGATGAGACATGATATTGCAAAATAATAGGGCTGTAATTATGTGCCTTACCACATTCCATTTCATCTTCTCCTTCTTCGCAGTCTCGGAAAGTGTCACACCTTTTAACCAAGTCCACACAAGTTGTTTCGTTGCACTGGAACTCATGAGGTAAACAACCTATAGAAAAGACAAAAGATAAATTTACATAAATATTTATATATTTTATATGTGGGTAGCAACACTTGTCTTATGCATTTTTATTAAGTACGACAGGTATGGATAATTTTATAAGACTTTTCTTGTATCCTTACATTTTTGGTTTTTTTTTCTGAAGATAGTGTGTGTATATTTGTATATAATACCTTAGACCATCGTTTCTCAACCATTTTATGCTTGTGGAACCCTTGAAATAGTTTGTATATCTTAGGGAAATTCTGCACAAAAAATATTATATACCATTACTCATATGAATAAAGATAAAAGGAAAACGTATCTTAGCTGACGCATTTCGTCCACATTTGCCTTGATAAAGTTCCACGGAGGACGAAACGCGTCGGTTAAGATAAGTCTTGCTTTTGTCTTTAGTCATATGATCTTTTTACAGATATACTCTATCTGACATTTTTACACATTATTATCTATCTCGCTTATATTTTTTATCGTTATTCACGTAGTAAACATAATATTTCTTCGGATGTTTTAAGGAAAAAATGCCCCTTTTTGTCAAATTTCTTGGCAATGGAAAAAAATAAAATCATATTGCACGTTTATGAGACCTAACACCGAAGTTTTCATTTACAAAGAATATCTGTAAACAGACAAGAAATGAACGTCAATACACACTATTATAATTTATCATACTAACCAAAGACAGTATGATCAACGTATATAGTACAATTACAAATATGATATTAAACGAAAATTACTCAAAAATGCATTAACCTGTTTATCAATGTTCCTAATGGAACCCCTAGTGACCTCTTGCGGAATCCCAGGCGACCTTGTGAGAACACTGGCTGAGAAGCACTGCCTTATATTTTTAGCCACTCCTCACTGAACGTCTTAGTTTCGTTCCAATGATTGATTGTTTAATTGGTTTAAACGACATGTCATTCAGCTGGGGATGTTTTATAGCAAGAGGTCAATTGTGGGGGTTCTTCAGAGTTTTTTCAATAGTATTTCTTGATTTTGCCAGTAAATTGTCTGCAGTTGTTTGTTGCTTAATGGGTTACGAATCACGTATGTGCTTATATATATATATATATATATATATATATATATATATATATATATATATATATACAGACACACACAGTGGGGGAAACATATAATCGAACACATACAAATTTCTAATTTATTGTTTGTCCAACTAATGAATAAACATAATTTATATATAATTATCTGTATACAGATACATAATAACTAAATATGCATAGAAAAAAAATTGATTAAATACATAAAATTTTATTTATTCATTTTAATAAGTGAAAAAGTATTCGTAAAATACACAAAGGGATACATAATCTTCATTTAATACTTTGTAGAATAACCATTATTCACTTCTACAGCAACCAATCCCATTTTGTAGTTCTCAATTAATGATTTTCAAATTTAATTTGTATTTTGTTCCATTCTTCTTTGCATATGGTCTTCAGATCCAGGATGTTTGTTGGAGCTCTCGATTATATTTGGATTTTCAAATAACGCCACAGATTCTCGATTGGGTCTAAATCATTTCAGGATATTTACATTAGTTCTCATCAAGCCATTCTTTCGTAGATTTTGCAGTGTGCTCAGTAGCATTATTTTGTTGGAAGATCCAATCTGTAGGAAGTTCAAGAATCTCAATCGAAATCATTATATTTGCTTCCAAGATATTTTGATATACTGCGACATTCATTCTAAAATCTATTACTGATATGTTGCCAGTACCTTTTGCAGAAAAACACCTCAAACAATGATGCTGCCACCACCAAATTTAAATGTTGGAACTGTCTTCTTTTTTCGAAGGTAGCGCCATTTTACTCCATTTATGATTTCTAGAATTACGTCCAAACAACTCACTTTTGGTTTCGTCTGTCCGTAATATTTTTTCTTAATAGGATTTTTCCTTATCCTTATGTTCACGAACGAATTTCAACCTGGCATTTCAATAGCAGTGGAGTTTTCCGAGGCGAGCGTCACCTTAGATTGTTACTATGAATTTCATTGCTTATTGTCTGTTTAGTGACACAGATTCATGATAATTCTTGACGAGTAAGTAGTGGATTTTGTTTAATTCGACGCATTAATTTCCTCGAATATCTTGACGAAATCTTCCATAGAATGCCTGTTCTTCTTTTTCAACAGTATTGAGTTTTTAAACCTTGCAATGAATGAACTGATGGTAGTAAATGGAATAGTCAGGTTGTTTGAGATTTTCCTGTAACTTTTACCTACTTTCCAGTCCCACAATAAGTGCTTTTTGCGAATTTGTCATTTCTTTACGTCCTGCCATGAAGATAACCTTCTTGCACGAATATCAATTAAGGAATGTTCTGTTTGTATTTTAGGTTAAAAATAATTACAGATAACAATATTGGAATATTTTAGTATATTCCACTAGAATGAATAATCTAGGGTATTAAAACAATTTAAAGGTTTTAAAATTTGAAATTTGCATTGTACGAAGATTTTTTAACACGTTAAAATGGATAAATGGGATTTATTTCTATTAAATCAATTTTTTCTGTTTTCTATTCATATTTAGTTATTATGCATCTGTGTACAGTTACTTATATGAAAAGTGTGGTTATTTATTTGTTGGAAATAGAATGAATTAAATATTTGTAAGTGTACGAATATTTGTTTACCCCAACTTTGTATATATATATATATATATATATATATATATATATATATATGGCTAATGCTCTGACGAGCTTTTTTTCTTGATACCCCGACTACATGAATTTAAGCGTATTACTAGATTTGTATCGAGGTCCCACGCATTTAAATATTTAAAATATAACCGGTTTAAATAGTCAAATGTAACCTCCACCTTGAGTACAACAGTTTCTTTCCTCGCATTTCTCGACATTGGAAATCCCTTCCTTTCACTTGCATTCCTGGCAACTACAATCTTCTAAAATTTAAATGCAACGTCAATTGCCATTTTATGTTGTCTTGATCCCTGTTCTTTTCCCTTTCCACAATTCCTCCTACACCCACTCTTTTCTCTCATTTTCATTCTCCGTAATCCCCTCTCTCTATATAAAAATTGTGTATTTGGTCAGCTGTAAACGTCCAAGCCTTCAAACACAGAAGTAACCGCTTTAATCTAGAGCTACCTTATCCCACGTTATGATTTCTAGATCATAAGGCAGCTAAGACCAAATCGTCGCAGGTATTTTCCTGTTGGGCTTGACGTACAGGGGGAAAATAATACTAGAATAAATTGAACAAATGTAAATACTGATTTTATAACAATTTCCATACAATAATTAGTTTATTTCAATTGTTCGCATGCAATTATTCATCAGCCCATCTCTGTTTAGTACGGTGGGTATGACGAGGTAAGGACATTTCGGTAAATCCCCTCCTGTTAAAGTCATAACTTTGAGGAACCTTTTCAATGAGCATGGGTGGCCTATACACCCCACTTCCTGCCTCGTATCAACTTCAAATGAATGTTTTTCTCTTTGCAGCTGTTCGTCGATCAAATATTGACCCTCAAGTCTGGGTTGTTTTTCCATTCTTCAAAGCACTCAAAATACAATTCAAGCAGTTTATATATCTGAATTCAATCTTCAATCTTTTCCAGAGGCTCCCCTGGTATTAACTCTTGTTCGTTCCATGTCTCTCAGCACATAACACCTTCTTATGTTTTAGCAACACCCCCCACCGTTTTATAACAGCTACGTCAAAGAGTATCACACAGCAATCTCTTTTTATACAAGTTTCATTAAAACGATTGACCAGGTACTGCGGCTAATAAGTTTTTAACTTTAATTGTTGGCTGCCGGGACATGTAATTTAATAACTGTGTATTTTGGTATCAATCAGATGTCAGTCGCTTTTAACGAAACTTTATACCCGACCCATGGCTTCCAGCAGTCCTTTTTCCAAGCTGGCTGTACATGAGGGCCTTAGGTATTCTTTCGTCACTCATCCTTCCAACATGACAAGCTTAGCGAAGTTCTGACTGTACTCAGAAAGTCTCAATTCTACCAGTTTTTCATTTTGACAGAAGACTGGACACTCTATCGTCAAAAGTATGGCCACAGATCTCTTGGAGACAATTTTGTAGAAGACGCCCAGCTGATTGATATGGGATATGCCTCCAATCGTTCTACATGCTTGTTGATGCCATTTTCGTAGAAACTTGGTAGTTTTTATTGGAAGAATTTTGTGAGTTTTCGATTGTTTGTGGAAAGTCAAATTTTTTGTAATTTACATTGTCACGAATTTTTGTAATAATCAAATATAAGGTATACTTCGTTATTCTTATGCAGCTTCTAGCCGCTGATTTCATATTTGAGTTTGTCTGTTACTCCACTAACCAGCATCTCTTTACCATGCATGACTTTTTGTTCCCTGTACATAGTTCTCACCTGAGCTGAATTAATGGCTGACAATCTTGCGTTATGGCTGTTTACAATAATGATTCTTTTCTGTTTGGTTTTCCTTTACTATTTAATCTGAGAGTTCTTTTAGTTTTATTTCTGAGACTTCTCTCAAGACCGTGCAATATGCATATCCAATGTTATTAAGATTATTCCGGCCGATAATAAATGTCCATCGGTCTTCCTGTTTCTATTAACGCTTTGGATGCCAACAAAAGTTTTATTTACCATAATATCATCATCTGTTTCTGATATTGAACGATCTTTTTTTTTACAGTTTATGAAATAGTTTTCGACTGACTGCACGGTCATATATTTTTCATTTAAATTGTTCTGCAGCGAACGGAACAAATGAAAATCCGAAGGAGCCAAGTCTATGGTTGTATTCGAGGATTTCCAGTTTCACCACTTTAAGTTCCTGCAATGTCTATTTTGCAACGTACTGTCTTGTGTTGTCGTAGTGGAAAATGACACCTTTTCGATTTACTGAAATCGGCCGTTTTTCTTGAATCCGAGTTTATTCAAATGCCTAAAGGCAGTTGAAATGTCGATTTTTAAACTTTTAATAATTTC